CATCTCGGACTCCATCTCGAGTCCATCTCGGACTTTATCTTGGGTCCATCTCAGACTCCATCTGGCACTCCATCTCAGGTCCATCTCGGACTCCATCTCTGTTAGGTGCCAGCTTTGACTACATGGTCAACGTCGGTCAAAGGGAGGCTCAAGGGTATATTAAGGCATGTTAGGGTAAGGGACTTAACCTAGCGTAGGGCTCACAGTGGAGCGGCAGCACAGTGGAGCTCTTGAGGTAGCTTGGGGGTGGTTGGGTGGTGAGGAACCTCAAGAGGTGGCGTAGCATAGTCTAGGGTGACTAGATCTTTGTCTTTTTGTGCCAGATTATAACAATCTCAGACTCCATCTCGGGTCCTCATGTGTCCCTTTTCTAGAGACTCATTTATCACTCACTTCGTGCTTGTTCCTCGAGCCCTTTCATTAAGAGTTCCACTCTTGCTCTCGACCTTTCAAGTCAGAGTTTTTAGTCTAAACGTGTTATGCTTGTTTGGCTTTCGCTTTGGCCACTACCATATGGCACCCTTTTAGCTCCACTTTGGGGCCTAGGGATTTTGTGTCTCATAGAGGGGATTTGTGATCAGTCTATAATAGTTATCCCCATAGTTATGGATTGAACCCAGGTACTGAAGTGCCAAAGTGAGCCTGCCAAAACTGACCCAAGTACTAACAAATGAGAAAAATGAAACTTTGATTTATAGAAATATATAGGTTTATTGATTTGTAAGATTTATTACAAAGTTTACAAAAGCTAGTCTTTATTACTAATCTTATACTCTGTGACAAGCTCACGAGCATGTGTAAGATTATTAGGAGGTTCCCAAGTTGATTCACAAACCAGATTACCTTTCCACTTAACTAGATACTCCTGACGTTTGGCATGTTTAAGCTAGGGTGTGCCCAAAATAGCTTCCACTTCATATTCAGGTTCACCATCCATAACTTCTAGTGGTGGATGAATCTCCCCTTGACGTGCAATATCTATAGTGTAAAGAGCCAAGAGATTGGGATGAAATACATTATGAATATTGGACATCTCCGCAAGAAGATCCAATTGATAGAATACATCACCAATCCATTTCAACACTCGATGGGTTTAACATATCTCGGTAATAGCTTCCGAGATAAAGATCCCTTAATGTTCAAGTTCCGGGAAGATAGCTACACCTGATCTCCCACTTGATAAGATACATCCCGATGATGCTGATCCTTATCACGTCGATACCTATCCTAAGCTTTGCCCATCGCCTCAGTAGCTCTAGACCAACCTTGGCATAGCTGCTCTGCATAAGTCTCAACGGCCGGGACCAACACTTCAAACATAGATTTCGGTACAACAATTTGTTGAGGCACCCTACAAGCATTCTCTTGCAGCATCTCCTATGGAGAATAGCCAATAGTGCCAACAGTGAAATGTGTTGTTATAACAGATTTTTACTATGTCCAAATGCTTAACCCAGTCGCATTGGTCCACTGTGACATAGTACCATAGATAATCCTCAACTTAAGCATTCATGTGTTCGGTTTGCCCATCAATTTGAGGATGATAAGCCATACTAAACTTCAATTTGGTACAAAACAACTGGAACATTGTGCCCCAAAACTTCTCTGTAAGCCTCGAGTCTCTATCCGATATCATCTCTTCGGGAAGACCACAAACCCGCACTACTTCATCATGGAAAAAAAGTTTTGCTGCTTATTTCGCATTCAATGTTTCCACAGTTGGAATGAAGTGTGCAATCTTCGACAACTGATCCACAACCACTATCAAAGTATCATAACCCTTAGACTTCGGCAAACAAGTGACAAAATCAAGTGTCACACTTTGAAATGGCTATGCTGGTGCTGGAATGCACTGCAACTTTCCAGCCTGCTTCTCAGTTCTATACTTACATTGCTGGCATATAGGGCAAGAATGGATATAGTCTACTACATCACCTTCCATACTAGACAAAAAAAATCCCTTTTTCAATGAAGCAAGAGTCTTTCGCTTTCCACCATGTCCTGCTGCCGGAACATCATGATGTTCTTGCAGAAACAACTGCTACAAATCCTTAGAGGGAAGATACAATCTTTCTTGCTTATAGAATATAAGCCCATCCTGAACTGAGAAGTGAAGCTTCACATTGGTTTGATTAGCAACTTTTGCTGCTTCACTACTAGGGTTCTGCTTCCACAACTCCGCACAGTGCAAGATTGCCTTCGCCAATAGATCACTTCTATATGAAATTTGAATGTCCTCCAACCAATCCGAACTGATTGCCGATATTGCCCAGAACTAAGCCTGATCACTCTATGCATCCGGAACAATATTATCTTAACCAGGTTTATATATAATTTCAATATCATATCTAGCAAGCTTCTCTTGCCAATGAGCCTGCTTCGGGTAAGCTTAGGCTGCATAACAAAGTAGCTCAATGTGTTACTATCTGCATAAACCTTGGTGTGTCCACCCAAGTAGTGTCTCCAGTGTTTTTGTGCCGACATTATAGCAAACATCTCTTTCTCGTGCATTGGCCATCTTCGTTAGGTTTATCAAGATATGGGATCTTGAGAACAGGAACCATAGTCAAGATCTCCTTCAATCGTACAAAAGCACATTGACAAGCTAATATCCAATGAAACAGTATACTACTCTTTGTCAACTTAGTCAACAGAAAAGCAATTCATTCAAAATTGTGGACAAACTTGTGATAGTATCCTACCAAATTGAGAAAGGAACGAACATCTGGTATAGTGGTCAAGACTTCTTAAGATTTCACCACTTCCACCTTCTTTGGATCAACCTCAGTTACACCTGAATTACACCTCCAATTACACCACCAACTATATATCCGAGAAAGTCCGCTTGTCCAAAAGCGCATTTACTTTCCTTAGCATACAATTTGTATTCACGCAACTTTTGAAACACCAGCTCCAAGTGTCTCAAATGATCCTTCAATGTTTCACTAAAGACTAGAACATCGTTGATATATAGGACAACAAATGTGTCTAAACAATCTCTGAATATTCTTTCCATCATAGTGCTGACTGTTGCTGGAGCATTGCATAACTGTAGCGCACCTTATCTCTCTCCCCTTAAGCCAACTGGAAAAGGGGCAATTGCTTGATGAGAGAGCCCTTAGTGGCTATTTTATCCCCATTTATCCCCCAAGGTTCCAAGGATCCACGGTGACAGTATATCCAAATCTCATCCCATGATCACATGTGCTACACTCACCCCCCCTTCAGAGATGTCAATATCCTCATTGACTATTGACTAACAACCCCTACTGAGCCAAGGGGAACCAGCACCTCCATTTCTACATTGAATCTACCAATCCTTCCATTATGTAGACTAGCTATTCCATGTGAGGCAACTAGTCATCCACCCGTACTGCAGTCCCACGGTGGATACCTTCGTCCGTGGATACTCCACACAAGAGGAAGGATGTCCAATACTTACGATTTCAAATTTAGGGGTAGGAATATACCTTACTCAAGGGTATATTATATTTTTAAGTAGTCACTAATCAATGGGAATCGGACCCGTGCCATTTGCTCCGATACCAACTTTAGCGCACCTTATCTCTCTCTCCTTAAGCCAACTGGAAAAGGGGCAATTGCTTGATAAGAGAGCCCTTAGTGGCTATTTTATCCCCATTTATCCCCCAAGGTTCCAAGGATCTACAGTGACAGTATATCCAAATCTTATCCCATGATCACATGCGCTACAATAACCCAAATGGCATGACAAGGCACACATAAAATCTGTATCGAGTCTTAAAGGTTGTTTTCTCCACATCCTAATCTACCACCTATATCTGATGATACCCAGACCGCAAATCAAGTCGTATAAAATACTTAGCCTTTAAGAGTTGGTCAAACAAGTCATCAATGCAAGGCAAAGGATAACTGTTTTTGACCATGATTTTATTAAGTGCCCGATAGTTGACACACATCCTCATGGTTCCATCCTTTTTTATAACAAAAAGGACCGGCGCTCCATAAGGTGACTTGCTTTGTTCGATATGATATTTATCAAGAAGCTCCATGAGTTGTTTCTTGAGTTCAACCATCTCCTTGACGTTCAGACGATAAAGAGCCTTTGTAGGTGGTGTAGAACCCAGAATGACCTCAATCCCATGATCAACCTCACGGCTAGGAGGTAGCCCTAGTGGCAAATCCTTTGGAAAGATATCCTGATTCCTTGCCAACAACTCCAATATCTTCTTTGGTATAGGATCAACCTCGTTGCTGATTTGAACTGAGTCACCAACACTCTTAGCTTCCATCACTTGAACCCAAAAGGTCTGACATCCCTTCTTAGCTTCTTTTTGAGCAGTTCTTGCAATTAGAAACTTAGTATCCCAATCCTTTGAGGAGCACTTTCGCAACTGGAAGGACACATCAAAACATCTTTCTTGACTTCAATGTAATACAACTTTGTCTTACACCATAAATCCCTTTAATATATTTGTTAAAGAAATCCATACCAAACACTATCTGAAAATCTGGTATCTTCAACACTACCAAGTCCACTCTTTCTTTCCACTTAGATATTTTTATTGGAACATGACTCACAAAATTTTTTGCTACTTGCCCACCTTCTACAAACTGGAAGTGTATGAGCAATATTTGCTCAGCATTCAATCCTAACAACTTAATTAAGTCTTCGGATATCACGATGTGCGTAGCTCCCGTGTCAATCATCACTCAGATATGGTGTCCACGGACAAAGTCTACCAAATACATCAATGGATCAGTGTTTGCATTGACTGGAAGAAAAGCTTGAGAAAAGTAACGAAAGTAACTCACCTCCTCTTCCTCATAGTCTGCATTGACCAATTCATCAACCCTTTCAACTTCACTATCACTGTCTTCCCTCACGACATTAACACAAGACTTTGTTTTAGGACATTTTGAGGACCTATGTCCTGACTCTCCACAATGGAAGCAATGACCTACACTACCTGTTCCACTAGGAACATGTTTTGCAAGTTGCTATTGCTTGTACCTACCAGGAGGAGGAATAGAGGGCCTAGGACTACAAGAAGCTGCTAGTGGTCTCCAACCACCACCACCTTTGTTAATTGTTGCTTGTGACTTTGCTCCTGCTACACGGTTTGCAAAGATTGATTTGCCAAGGTCGTTCATTTCAATCAAGAAATTGGTTAGCACCAACAAAAATGAAGTTCCAGAGAAAAGGACTGAGAACCCCAAAGGAAACTCTGAGATTCCTAAGTATGCTTATCAATGTGCACGATTTAAGAGGAATTATAAGCTTCGCAAAAGTCTTAGCCCTGCTAAGAAAGCATATGAGCTTAGGAATGGGTTTAAAGCAAGAGTAAGTGCCAAGTTGATGGATCAGAAGTCTGATGACATGGCGAAAGAACCTATTCAAGGAAAACTCCTTAAAGTTTATGGAGGATGTGTGTGCATGGTGAACCAGAGCTCCATGCAAGAGACAATGATTATTTCAGAAACAAAAAACGTTGAAAGTACTTCAGAACATGACGGATGCAATAATGAAGTCATTCATCCGGAAAAAGTCAATTCAGTACCCTCAGAGTTCTTACTCAGCATTATAACTGTTAAAACAACATACACACAGTGTTCATGTAGAGAAGAGCACTCACAAGAGAGACTTACAGCCCACTACCACTGCCAGTGAGAAGCATTCTCCCAATTGCTAACTTTGAAATGCTAATATAAATTCTAGAATTTAAATCTAATATAAAAAGAAATACGGATTCAATTTCAAGAGTTATTACTATATGAATTCAAAAAGTATATAATCAGTTTTTTTACATGTAGATAGTGTTTTTATAACTTTAAATTAGGCTTAAAATCTATTTTTATCCAGATTTATAAACTATTTAAATATAATTTTTAGATGTAAATAATATCTGAATATATCAAGTTTCAAACTTATGTCCTTGTAATCTTACAATTTATAGGCAATTGATAGATTGAAGGTAATGTGTAATAGATATAGAGTTCATGTATGCATTAAAATGGAGAATCATGCTTTTTTAACATGCTACTTCTCAAGTATAACCTCACTCTAATTATTGATGAGACCAAGTTCATCAATCTAACATCATAATCCATGATAATGTGTATTTTCTTTTGAAAAGAAATAACTCTTTTTAAATTCTAATCTATAATTATATTCCCTCTTTCTGGAGAAAATAGTTTTTAATTAAAATTGTAAGGAGAAAATTGCCAACAAAGCTTTAATTCTGATCTTTCTAGATATCTTTACCATTATGAATACCTTATAGACTTACATGGTAGCAACTGTTAATTTTAAAAGACAAACAATAATCTCAAGTGTTACTAGATTTCCATAACTGCACCACCCCATATATAGAGCATTAGAGTATTGTCCAGATAAAAAGTTTTTTCTTCCAATACCTGTAATACGTTAGCTACTCCCAAACACCAATAGTACTAATACTTTATTCTTTACTACATGTAAGAAAAGCAAACTTTTCATAAGCATATAGTTTCCATGAGAAGTGGCCAAGCAGCCATATTGGTAAGACTAGTTTACCTTGCACCCTTCAATCTAAAGCACAATTGGTTATATTTCCGGTGGCAAACATGGAGTGTGTTGTCTAGTTGCATACATGAATGCCTACCACCAAAAGTGTTGCATTGCCCTTTGAGCATGGAAAACCTTCTGGAGAAGAACACATTGCCCTCTGGGCCTGGACAACTTCCTGGAGTAGAACATGCAGCTACACAATGGCAAGCTTGACTACTGATTCCAGCACCTTGCCGATCTTGAAATTGTCTGCATTGATTTTCCCTCACTTCTGGTACAAGACAATAAAGTTGTTATCCACGATGTGCCACAATGCATTAACGTTGCTACAGATGATGCACGATCAGACGCGAGTAATATTACCATTTGACTTTCTCCTAACGCAGGAGGATTGCTTGACTATGGTCCATGTGAGGGGTAGCAAGCCCATCTTCGTCAAGCCAGAGGCTGTAGTGATGAACCGGACTACTAGGTCAAGTGAAATCCTCATCATCGATGACTCGCCGATTAAAACTGCAGCGAACACGCACACATATGCAGTGCACCCCATCTCTTGCAGTATGGAAATTAGGGAGAAGAAACCGTATGTTCTGGGGGACCTTGCAAAATGGCTTGGAGCGATGGTGATAGAGAACCGGCCAGTCTAGGAGGTGGCTGCAGAAATCAACCAAATGGCAGATGGAACGATATATCAGAAGCCATTTGATCGGACAGACACCAGTCATCATTTATGGCATGTATATTGTCTAGCCAAGCACTATCCGCATCTCCATAATCTGCTCAACCGGATGGGTTCTTCGACCACTGAACATGAGCGTGGACGTATTAGAGAAGAGATGGCATTACTATTGGGTTTAAATCCTGATAGTGTGGAGAGTGATGAAATTCCAAGATTATTGTATAGGCGTTGGAGGCAAAAAATAACAGTCTGAAATGGCATGTATTTATTTAAAAATGTAACTTATTATGGCATGGGGTTCCATGCCATTGTATTAATATTAAAAGACAATTCTTTGAGAGGATTTGCATTATACTAGAAGTGTTACAGCATGTTATTGGAAGTCTACGAAGTTGTTTTATTAATAAGGGGAAAGTAAAGATTGAATGGGGACTTGGGCTCCACCTAGACTCGGAGCAACTGAGCCAATATTAAAAGGATGGAAAGAAATTGGACGACGATGACAAGGAGAAAAGAGAGGTGAAGCAGTGGCAAGGGGAGGAGAAGTGATTGAGTAAACATTTCCTTGTTTAAAATAAAATGGCATGTGCCTCAATGCAGTTGAATTTTGTTATATTTATATACTATATAAAGGTTTGGAAACCTTATTTTACAAGTGGGATAATGACAATTCCCACTTTAACGAAATAGAGCTTTTAACAATTCTCTCTTCATTTTTTTATAGATAAGCTCTCTTTGCAAAGCAATGCAAAGCATTAAGAGCTTGCTGGAAACTATGATTATTTACTTTCCAAGAAGGCATGAGATTCATGCTGATTACATCAAGTAACAATCAGGTAGGCCTTTAGTGTTCTTGCTCACGGGTTGTGATCTCCCTTATCTTGAGTTTAGAGAAGCCTGCAAGTATCACTAAATTGCAAGCACTCAGCTAGCTGTGTATGTCTTTGGAGACTGCCATTATAAGTACTTTTTCTTTAAATTTAATATAACCTGCACTGCTATGGATTTTGTGAATGACATTTTTAGGACTGATGATCATGCTGTTCTCATGGTTTGGTCCATGGTCATAAAAGTTAGGCATGTCCTCCAAAGACCTATGATGAGAACAACCTCTACAATGTACTTGGCAAGCCTACCTTTGAGTGTCTTCTTGTCTTTGAGTTTCATCCAGTAGAGGCAGTGACTTCAAAGCAGGATTCACTCCTTGTGATAAGTCAATTTACACTAGGAGAGGCAAGTCTGAGGCGTGGACACTGCTTGGGCATCAGAAATATCTAAGGTTTGTTCCTGGATCTCAGCCACAAAGAAGAGAGTTGTCCTCTTGAATCTTTGGAGGAAAATATTTTCACCCCAATTTCTTAAAAATGTCATAAGCTGACAGATCTTGCACAAGGCCATCAGATCTCTGCGGTCTTCTTTTATCCTTCACCTGTAACTCATCTTCTTTCAATTTTTCCTCCTTCTTTTCATTCAGATATGTAACATTTCTACTGAATAAAACCTTTGAAAGCAATAAAACTATAGCAAATCAATTGCCATGACAATAGATTGGGAATGAGGAAATAAAAATAGCAAATAGATCTTAAAAATAGAACAATGCATCTTAGATCGTTACAAAAGATGGTGTTTCTGGCATGAAATAATGGGAAGCAGTGGTTGTTATGATCCGGCACAAAAAGACAAAGATCTAGTTGCCCTAGACTATGCTAAGCCACCTCTTGAGGTTCCTCACCACCCAACCACCCCCAAGCTATCTCAAAAGCTCTATTGCGCCGCAACTCCACTGTGAGCCCTAGGGTAGGTTAAGTCCCCCACCCTAACATGCCTTGATATATCCTTGAGCCTCCCTTTGACCGATGTTGACCATGTGGTCAAAGTTGGCACCTAACAATTCTTTCCGCCCAACAAAGTCCTTGTCCCAAGGACGAGTTGTACTAGTGATCACCCTTTTTGCAGAACCCTGCTCAAGCTCCTGGTCCATCTTCCATAGCCGTATACATCAAGGAGGCATTGGGCCCATCACTCCGAGATAGTACACCTTTCTACTAGCTAACATAAAATACCGGATGAATTTTCACCCTAGCTGGCAGCCGCACCCGATAAGCCGCTTTACCAATGCGCTCCAGCACTTCATATGGACCAGCATGTCGATAGGAAAGTTTATCACTCTTCCCTGTCCGTAAAGGCACTAAGGTGTTCCACCGCTCACTTAACGGAAAGATCACTCGTACAAAGACGAGATCACCCACCTTATATTCCCGGAATTGGCAATGCTCATTGGTAAACTTCTCCGCTCTATGCTCAGCTGCTTGCAAATTCCATTTGCACACCACCAGAATCTCATCAAGTTTTGTGGCTAGATCAGTCGCCTCAGAATCAAGTTTATCTTGAACGTCCTTACTCAAATGCAATCCCAACTCCACTACTATTCGAGGATGCCTTCCAAACATGGCAAAGTAAGGACTTAGTTTGGTTCCACTATATTGGCTATTGTTGTAAGCAAATTGCACTAATGGAATATATAAATCCCACTGTCCTTGCCTTTGACCAATGCTACAACGTAGCATATCCTCCACCACCTAATTCACATGCTCGGTTTGCCCATCCGTCTGAGGATGATCTCTACTCAAGAGTTTCGAAGTCACTTGCATAGCCTTTGCAAAGCTTTTCCAAAATCCACTAGTGAACTTTGAATCTCAATCATTAATGATGTCCTTTGGCAAACCAAAATCAGGAAAAACCTTCTCCAAGTAAACCACAACCAAGTCTGAGGCAATGACAGTCTTCCGAAGAGCCAAAAACCGCACATACTTCGTCAACCAATCCATTATGACCCATACTTGCTCCTTTTGCCTCTATGTTTGTGGCAAACAAGTGATGAAGTCCATAGAGATACTACACCAATGGCTCTGAGGAATAAGTAAAGGTTGCAAAAGTCCCTCTGGCTTCTCCTATGGCACCTTAACTCGCTGACAAAGCTCGCATGATTTACAATACTTGAGGATATCAACCTTTATATTCCTCCAATAAAAGTTGCACTTAATCAACTCATGCGTCTTCTTCCCCCCAAAATGACCGGCCTTTGGACGATCATGATACTGGAATAAAACTTGAGTAATTAACACATCCACCCGTGGCAAATATACACGGCCATTATAGTAGAGAATCCCATCCACCAATGAGAAAGGGGCTTCCATCTGGTCTCGCAAAG